AGCTTATTTCCCTTCTATGAAAATTTTAAGTACTATGTTAACAATTCTCTTTGAAAATCCTCAGAGGAATGTTTTATCATGAAACACTCAAGAAAAAACAATCCATTTACGTTCCCACCTTAATTTTAACCTCTTTCTGAAGTGGAAAAAGAATTTTTTTTTCCTCCTGAATTCTTGTGCGTTGGGTCACTCTGAAATGGATTATTGACTAGGAACGAGGTCACGCTAAAAAAACTAATCAGCTTTAAGAAGAAAAGCCGCCGAGGACTGTTGCTCGCGGTCAGGAGCCGGTAGAATGAGGCTGGGAATTACCCAGCAGGTGAACAAGTATTTGTTGAGCACCCTCCTCGTTCAAGAGCCTTCTGGAAAGGGAGACGTATTGGGGGGCTAAAGGTCAACAAACACTGGTTGAATCTAATGGCACTTGAAATAAGTTGCCTTTTGGAGAGTGGGAGAATTTAATTTCTGAACAGTTGATTTCACTGGTCTCCGGATGACATGGCTGTTTATTTGGGCTTCCTTTTATTTTGATTAAGGTCAGTAGTGCTGGGTAGAGAGTGGTACCTGCGTGTAATTAATCCCAGTGGCTCTTGCGGGGGGCCGAGGCAGGAGGGTTGCAAGATTGAGGACAGCCTCAAGTGACTTCGGGAGATCCTTAGCAGTTTGGTGAGACTCTGCCTCAAAATAAAACAAATAGAAAGGATTGGGAATGTGGCTCAGGGTTAAGTGCTCTTGGTTCAGTTCCCAGGGTGTGTATTGTCTGTGTGTATGTGTGCACGTGTGTGTGTGTGTGTGTGTGTGTGTGTGTGTGTGTGTAGATGGTACTATGTTCCCATTCTTTTTGATTTTATCTAGGTCTCCCAGCCATCCTCATCCATGGGGGCTGACCATTGGGTTCGCTGGTAGAGAAACACAATTGGAAATAGCCATGTGACTGACATAAGCCCAGCTCTAGTGGCATCTTTATTTCTTATAAATAGATTCTTAGTTCCTTCCCTGGGCTGGGTGTTCCGCTGAGGTTTTTTATTGGATCCACCACCTCAGCTCCGTGTCTCCTTACTAACCTTGTAAACTGAGTGCTTGTGAGCTAAGGGCAAAGTTGTTTGCTTCTTGGCTCTATTTGTAGCCTTGAGCGTTTGAGAGTCTAGTCTTCGATTCCTGACTTTCAAAACCTGGTCTGCTATGTTGTGTTTATGTTTGGTCACTGAGGCTGAGTCATCCGCAGTGAGGCTAAGCCATTTCCTTTTCTCCCAGAACCACAGTCGTGCTGTTTTGGAGTGCACCTTGCTACCGCAAGAGTGTCCAAGAACTAGCAGCATAGGCCCCACTCGGAGGCTAATTAGAAATGCAGAGCCCAGACCCCAGCCTTACCCACTGGTGCTATGGGGTCTCGCTAAGTTGTCCAGGAACTTGTGATCCTTCTGCCTTGGCCTCCCACCGTGTGTAGGTTTGAATCTACTATTTCAATAAGCATAAAATTCAAAGCTAATTCCTGTGTACATCCATGTGGGCACTCACACATGCTGGGCAAAATATTCTCCCACTGAGCTAGAACCCCAGCCCTAAATTTTCTTCATAAACATGTCATGACTACAATGTCAAGGGCTATATTTCCACTAAAATTTTGTTTGTTTGTTTGTTTTCTGGTGCTGGGGATTGAACCCAGGACCTGTGCATGCAAGGCAAGCACTCTACCAACTGAGGTATGACCCAGCCCTCCACTAAACATTTTTTGAAACAAATTTCTGACATTTAATCATGAAAATTATAAACATGTAGCAAAATGGAAAGCATTTCTACAATGACTAGCCATATACCCTCCATCTGTCTTCTATTACTGTGTTTTACATTCCGCCCCCACCCCAAATTAATTTCTATCAAGATTTCTTATGGAAATGTTAGGTAAGAGCAAGGCTGTTTCAAAGAATCCTGTCATAAGGGTCATCAGGGTCTCGTTCTTCTAGAATTCACAATGAGTTTAAGGTCACATTTAATTTGGGAGTTTCTTGTGAATCAAGAGAAATTTGGGAGTGGGAGTAGGGGAGGCCTGGGATTTGGTAGAGTTGGGGGCTGGTCCTTTTCCCACCCAGATTACTGGGTCTCAATCTTCCCATGTATACCGCGTGGGGGTTGAAAGAGGTCATCTCTGATGTTACTGCCAACCCCGTAACTCTAAGTCTAGTGCAAATATCATCATCATCATTATTTTTCAGGTGGAAGAAATTGATGAACCAGTTAAATATTCAAATAAGAGGGAAAACATCTGTTGGCGTGGAAAAATGATTATTTCCTAAGCTACTGAGTAAAACACAGCTGTACTGGCGGTTTTAATTCTGTTTTCTTGTCAATTTTTGTTCTTTCAGGAAACCTTAGAGAAACCTCAACCATCTGGAACTCAGAAACTCACTGGGGGCTGACTGCAGCTTCTAGAACATCCAGGTGTTCTGCCGATGAGAGAATTTGTCCTGCAGTCACCAGATGGAGTCCCAGACAGATGCCAAGCTTGGGCTGCGGCTCTAACATCCCTGAATACAGAAGGGCCCCCAATGACACCGACACGTCTAGTCATCTTTATGAAGCTCCGTGGGAAACATCTCCCCTAGTGAGTCCAGCCAAGTCGGGGGCTGCCAGTGTCCCGACTCCTGTGAATTAGGATTCCAGATGGGGGCCTCGTTTCTGTACTCCCCGGCATCCCCCCAGCCGTCACATCCACCACCACTGCCACCAGTAGGTTCTGGAAAACTCTACTCCTAAGGGACCTGCTGCATTAAAAGTGGGCAGAGAGGAAGCGCTCGGAAAAGTCTCCACTGGTGGCCTGCCATCGTTCCAGACAACAGGAATCTCCCCCTTGTCACCATGGGCTGGCTTTTCCTAAAGGTTTTGTTGGTAGGAGTGAGTTTCTCTGGATTCCTTTATCCCTTCGTGGACTTTTGCCTCAGGGGGAAGACGATGGGCCAGAAACCAAATATTGTGATCATTTTGGCCGACGACATGGGCTGGGGTGACCTAGGAGCAAACTGGGCAGAAACAAAGGACACTGCCAACCTTGATAAGATGGCTTCAGAAGGAATGAGGTGAGTGTGGAGGCTGCCACGCCAGCATCTCTCTGGATGTCTCACCCCAGTTCTTGTAGGGGAAGGGGCAACGTAAAGCCCTTAAAAGTGCAAAGGATGGGTCCACGTTGCTTTTATTAATGCGTTAATTTATTTGGGTGAAGCCAGTGCAGTATCATGAAGAAACCTATCTACCCATTACCCACCCACCCATCCAACCATCAGCCTACCCAACTATCCATCTACCTACCCATCTACCTATTCACCCATTCATCCATCCACCCACCCATCTATTTATCTATCCACCCATCTATTCACCCATCCACTCATCCACCCATCCTTCCACCCACCCTTCTACCCACCCTTCCACCCATCTATCCATCTGTCCACTCATCCACCCACCTACCCTCCAACAATCCATCCACTCACCCATTTACCCATCTATCCATCCACCTACCCATTCATCTATCCATCCATCCAGCCATCCATCTATCCATCCACCTACCCATTCATCTATCCATCCATCCATCCATCCACCCAGCCATCCATCTATCCATCCATCCATTTATCAGATGACATTATATATGTGCGTATTAGGAGCTATAGAGGTAAACAAGATAAAAATTCTTGCCCCCATTTACTCACCATCTGGCAGATGACACAGGTTAAAAGGAAGGTGAGAATTACAACTGACACTGGGCATGGTGGTGCATGCCTGTAATCCTAGTGGCTCAGGGGGCTGAGGCAGGAGGATCTCTAGTTTAAAGCCAGCTTCAGCAACTTAGCAAGGCCCTAAGCAATTTAGTGGGACCCTGTGTCAAAATCAAACATAGAAAGGGCTAGGGATGTGGCTTACTGGTTAAGTGCCCCTGAGTTCAATCCCTGGTACAAAAAAAAAAAAAATTTCAGTTGAGTCTTACATGAATCTGCATCTGGAGTCTTTTGGATTCCAGAGGGCAGGATGTAGAACCCAGCCTGGGGACACGGGGAGAAGATGACCTTTGAAGAGCAATTGAGAGCCAGTGGGGCACACGTGTGTGTAAGTAGATGGGACTGACATTCAGGGCTAACATTTAAGTCATGCTGAATTAATTCTAAGGGACCACAAGAGGGGACACGTTGAGCAGTGGGCCAGAGTGTTCATAACGGCCACTGCAGATTTTTGCTCAGACCCCTGGCTTCCTTCCCCACCTAGATGGAGAACAAGTGTCAGAGCTTCCTGACGTCAGTAGTTTTGCCCTGGGCGGATGTGGATCTGATTGGCCGGCTTGTTTCCCGTCTGCACTGGGTTAAACTCCCACCCTGGCTCAGCCGTCCGCCTGGCCGCTCAGGAGAACATGGGACATCTCCACAGGGCTTCAGCCACTTGTGTCCCTGAACTCAGAGCTTTCCCCCATAAGTAGGGACAATGGCATTTCCTCTCTCCTCCTGCAACCTCCTCCTCGCCTCAGCCCAGGAGAACTTTCTAGAATCACTCCTCTATTTCCAATCCTTCACAGACACTTTGTGTCTCTTAAGGATAAAGTCCATGCGTCCACTTATCAGATGACGTCGCCTATGTGCGTATCAGACACTCTGTACAGCGTCTCACCAGCTGGTTTTCATCTCCATCCCTCCGTCTTCCCCATCTTGGGCTCTTCTTGTTTCCCCCGGACGGGCCCGCCCCACCCCTCTGTGGTGGGTTCTTCTGGGCACTGTCCACATCCTCTGCTGCTTAGGTCTCAGGTCCCTCAGGAGAGGTGTCCTCGATGCCTAAGGTACACCTAAGGGTGTCCCCTGCCCTGACCTACTTAACGTGGTGACTGTTTATGCATCTGACCGCCTGTGTCGGGTTGAAGAACGTCCACTCCCACCACCCATGGCCACCCAGGACCCCCGAATGTGACCTCATTTGGAAACAGGGTCATCTTTGTGAATATAATTAGTGAAAGACCTTAACGATAATGAATCTAGGGGGTGGGACCAAAATCCTAGGGCCCTGATAAGAAGAGGAGCGGACACTGGAGAAGAAGATCCCGTGAAGGGGGGACGGAGCTGGCAGGGACCGTGGGGGTCTACCCAGGGCTGCCTGCAACACGGGAAGCCAGGGGAGCTGAGCGTTGAGTCTCCCTGGGTCCCCAGAGGGACCAGCCCCGCCCATGTCTTGATTGCAGACCCCTGGCCTCCCACTGTGGTGCGAAGCCTCCCAGTTGTCATATGTAATGGCAGCTGCAGAAAACGCGCACGTACTTCCCTTCCAGTTCTGGGCTGCAGGAGGAAAAGTAGTGTGTCATCCCGCCTCGTCCCCCACCCCCTTAGGTCCCTAGCAAGAGCACAGGGCCTCCCACGGATGAAGCAGTTAACACACAGCTGATCATCAATAAATGAGCTGAAACGTCACCTCGAGTGTTGCAGGTAGGAGCTTCTCTTCCGGGGAGACAGTTGGCCCAGATGACCACGTTTACCAGCCTCAGGGACCTGGGTTGCCGAATGTGTAAGCACTTCTGAAACTTTCCGTTTCCCGCAGGTTCGTGGAGAGAGAACCAGGCCCCTTATTTCAGTTGCGATCTGGGAGGGTGGACATTGTCCTCCTGAGCTGTCCCCACCAGCACACTCGTCCTGAGCAGAAAGGGTGTCTCAGAGTCAGGCCCAGCTTGGTGGGCTTTCCTATTTACCTTCCTTTATGAGTGTATTCTGTCCGTCGGGGCCCGTGACAGTGGCCAGGTGTGCTGCCCCCCGGCCTCTGAGGTCAATGTGTTTTCATTCTGTGCATATTGCTAACAGGAAAGCTGAACTTCCTGTGAGGCTGCGGAGTGATTTGTCGCTGGCTTCTTCCCCTGCCTGCTCCTGGCCCGTGGGGAACCATGAACTCTTGTGCCAAACAGGGCTGAGGTGTGACTTGAGAAAGTGTCTTTCCTGTTGTTCCTTTTCATTAGAGTGTTGTATTCCTAGGACTGCAGGTGCTAACTACTACAGGTTGGCTGGCTTAAAACAGCATTAACCCAGCCAGGCCTGTCATCCCAGCAACTCGGGAGGCTGAGTCAGGAGGATTTGAAGTTCAAGGTCAACCTCAGCCACTTAGGCCTCAAACCACTTAGGGAGACGCTGTCTCAAAATTAAAAAAGAAGAGGGCTGGGGATGCTGCTCCGTGGTAAAGCACCTTGGGTCAATCCTCAGACGCGAATCCAGCCTTTCAGAATGCAGGAGGTCCAAATCAAGATGTCCGCAGGGGGTGGTCCCTTCTAGAATCTCTAAGGAAGAATCTGTATGTGCCTCTGTCCTTGCCTCTCTCCTAGCTTCTGCTGCAGGCTAGAAGTCTTGTCTTGCAGACTCCAGTCTCTGCTTGGTTGTCACATGATGTTCTGGTGTGACAGTGTCCACATCTCCCTCTTCTAATAAAGATACCAGTCGGTGGACTTAAGATCCACCCTCATCCCGTCTGACCTCATTTCATCTTTATCATATCTGCAAAGACCCTGTTCCAACTGAGGTCGCAGTCCCAGGTCCTAGATTGGCATGATCTTTGTGGGAAATCATCATCCAACCCAGTACCATCAACTACACCACATAATCTCTGTTCCGGTGCCCCTAACATAGTCGGTCATGCAGTAGGTGCTCAATAAATGTTTGCTGCCTTGAAGAGTAAATCTCTTGCTTAAGAGGGCAGACTCTGGGGCCAGAGGGCTTGGCTTTAAATCCCGGCTCTGTGTGACCTTCACATACTTGCTTTCCTCTCCTGTCAGTGGGGACGATGGCAGCACGTCCCTCCTAGGAGGTGGCGAGGCCTGTAGTAGACATGGATACGTGTTGGCTGTGGTTGTTTCTGTTATTGTTGTTAGAAGCAATGCCCATTTGGATTGCCGTGCATGCGGCTCCTCAGCATGAAGAAAGGTCTAAGTGACAAGTCATGGAAAGTGAATGTGGAGTTCTGGAGACGGGTCCCTGTCGATCCCCACGTGGGTGCACATGGGGGAACACCTGTGCTGGAGTGCACACAGCAGCGCGATGACAGCTGAGCCTCGCGCAGTGCTCAAGGTACCCAGCCTGGGCATCAGCCCGTTTAACTCTTGCTCTCACCGTCTCTCATCACACAGGCGAGGAAATGGAGGGTGGGTCGCTCACCCAGGGTCCGTGAGGGACTAAGCCAATATTGAAGCCCAGTTTCCCTCATTTTAGAGCCTCGTCCTCTGAGAGCTGGGAGGAATCGGGGAATGAGCGTGGAGACCTGGGTTGGCTTTGCAGCCAAAGGCTTGGGGACTGGCGCAGGTTGGAATCTCAGCACTTCCTCTGCCTTGGGTGCCTTTATGAGGCCATCTGAGAAATATGTTAGAGACGTCAGTCGTTGGGAAAGTTGATGGAGCTGTCGTCAGGAGGCCCAGCCCGCGGGGACGTGCTTGCTGCCCTTGCAGACGGCTGCGCTCTTACCCCACTCTTACTTACGCCCCTTCATCTCCAAGCTCCTCTTCATTCTCCTGCCATTGCACTTATTTCTGTATCTAGAAAACCTGCCTTCCCCTGCCCCAGGGCCTTTGCGTGGCTGCTCCTCTCAGCGCCAGCTCACTGGTTTTGCCTGACTGGTCTCTTCTCATCCTTCTGGTCTCCTCTCCACTCAGACGCCACGCCTTGGAGAAGCCTTTCCTGACCTTTTCTCCATTACTGCCTCCTTCCCCTACGTTCCCTTCCCTCTTTCTCCTGCCCACCCCCTTGTGTTTTTGGTACTGGGGACGAACCCAGGGGCATTTTTACCACTAAGCCTGGCTAAGTTGCTGAGGCTGGCCACCAACTTGTGACCCTCCTGCCTCAGCCTCTGGGATTGCAGCCTTGCACCTCCCATCTGCCCCTCCCCACCGGGCCCTGCTTTGCTACTGAAATGATCTTCTGTGCTCCTCCGCTCCCTGTTTCTCACGGTAGAGGGTCAGCCCCCTCTCACGGAATGTTTGTTCACGCATCTGTGCTCCTGGACCTGAGCTTCTAGCTTCTAAAAGCGGTGAGCCACAGCTTGGGATCTGGAACCAGACTGCCGGGG